CCCAGATTATAGAAATTTATTCAATATTTGTTAAAAGCAGCAAAGAATATAATAATAGACACCATGGTGGCCTTGGCTGTCTGCCAGTAGAGAACATGAATCCCTTGTTGGAAGCTTGTGCAGACAATCTGCTATGTAATTGTAGCACTAAACATTAGCTACCCTAATTTTGTATGTTTATAAAATCATATTTTATATGATTTTAATAGAGTTCCAATTTCTTCAATTCTGTAAAACAGCATTTTAAAATTAGGGCTACCTACATAAAATCAACTACATAAAAACAATGGTATAAGATAAATCTTAATAGCACAAAGAGATAAACATGTCACTGGACTCTGAGTACTAGTGGGAAAAAAAGGGAAGTTAAGCTACAGAAGTTTTTCATTTCATAACAAAAACCCACTGATAAGAAAACTGTATCTTTATATACATTGTTTCTAAGGACTATACATGTATCTTCCTGCACAATTTTCATTATTTTAAAGAGTACATACCAACAGTTTTTTGCCGTACGATACTCCTCGCCTTTTCGGTTCCTGGGGAACCAGTGGTTGTTGCACTTCTCTGTCTCATTGGTGCTTGGCCAGGCTGATCACGACTCCATCCTCTAGGAAAATGACTTATCAACTGAAACCTTCTGAAATTCATGTCCAACTCCTAGAAATATATATTTTCAATCTCAATATACTGTCACTTGATATAATATCTTCAAGTTATGTGTGCTACCGTGCCTCAGATTCTAAATTATAAAGTAACAAGTAAATTGCTGTGAACAGTAAGGGGTTTTTTTTAGTTTTATTTTATGTAAAAACCATATTCCAAAACTGATGCAGAATTTTAAAATTCCACTATCAACAATTAGAAATTCTCTGCCACTACTTGTTTTGTAATAGAAATGAAACATTTAGACAAGCCAAAAAAAGACAGGAACTGAACAAAACAAAAATGATCCTACGGTGAAGCTTACTAAATCTCTAACCTGCCAATAAGAGCCATATGGGAAATAAATAGTCCGAGAAAAAGCAGTTAAAGCACATACTTAATACCCTGGACAAAAGGTTAAGTCTGAAATGTGACTTAGTTGCAATCTCTATCTATCAACTAATTACTAAAAATGCAAAATATTAACAAATCAAGGATTATAAAAACATGTATAATGACAATCATTATGCTACTGCCCTATCCCTCAGAATGTTAGACAGATAAATTATTTCATGTCTACGGAATGTTTGCATTTAGTTAAAATTATTTAGTTAAAACTACATAAATGTTTTAAAAAGAATTTTCAAATAATTCTGTGTAATATACTTTTAAAATAAAGTAACATGAAATCACCTTCTCAGTTGTAACAAAAAAAAGAAACAGCATTTCACAAGCTTCAGTTTTGGTTAATTATTAGAAGTAAAACATTTAAGATTCTGAATTATGTATTTAACTATAGCAAGATATGTATAGACTACTTTATCTTATATAAAAATTACTAGTGATTTTAGGTGCTTTAAGAAAAATTACAGGGCACCTGCATTTTTTTTTTTGTTTTGAGTTGGAGTCTCACTCTGTCACCCAGACTGGAGTGCAGTGGCCACTCCCAGTCACTGCAGCCTCGACCTGCTGGGCTCTGGCGATCCTTCCGCCTCAGCCTTCCAAGTAGCTGGAACTACAGGCAAGCGCTACCATGCCTGGCTCATTTTTGACTCATTGTAGAGATGAGGTCTCGACAAGTTGCTGAGACGAGTCTCGAACCCGCGGGCTCAGGCAATCCACTCACCTCAGCCTCCCAAAGCGCTGGGATTACAGGCTGAGCCACCAAGCCCAGCTCTGCATGCTTTATTCTTGGAAATTTAAGCCTCGAAGATAAAGAAAGCCTCCAAGGTAAAGAAATGAGGAAATGTTTAAGAAAGAACATGAGGCTAAGCACAGTAACTCATGCCTGTAATTCCAGCACTTTAGGAGACCGAGGTGGGAGGACTGCTTGAGCCCACATGGTGAGACCTTGTTTACATCAAAAAAATTAAAATAAAAAAAATAGCCAGGTGTGGTGGTGCACACCTGAAGCACCAGTTACTTGGGAGACTAAGTCAGAAGGACTACCTGAGACCAGAAGATTAAGATTGCAGTGAACCCTGATTTCACACTGCATTCTAGCCTGGGTGACAGAATGAGATAGAGTGAGATTCCAACCACCCTCATCCCTATCTCTGGCTTGGTTTTCCTCCAATTATTTAACGAAATTTATATAGCACATCTCCATGAACAACTCTTACCTTTTCCTTTGTGCTTTTTTTGCTTCTGTTCACTCAGCTTATCCAATGGTAAATCACTAAGATCCAAACTATATAAATTCCTAGCTAAAACTTTAGTTAATGTCTCCATAGTCAGTGACCACTCAGTGGCCAACTCTTCCCAATAGGTCAACGATGACAATACTGACAATAAGTCATCCCAAAGTTCTCGGGAGATGTACACATTTAGGTTTGCTTTGATCCAGGCAACTATAAGGGTCTATAATGACAAATAACAAGAAATAACACAAAATGTATTTAGTCCATTACTTCAAAATCAGATACTCATTGAAAAAAAAAACCCTAAAAACCAGAATTTTAAAACATATCTTTCTTCACAGATAATACTTATAAGAGTAGTTCATGCAATCATTAGTATCCACCATAAACTTCATTTCAACAATTGCCAACTCCTAACATGCCAGCAATCCAAGCTGCTAAGAAATCTCTCTAAAGTTACATCTATCCTTAAAGCTGTATTACACTTATACTAAATAAAATAACTGCTATTTTAAAAGAAATAAAAGCTTCCATACTATTAAGTATTAACAATGTTGAGTTACTGAACTAAAAAACCAGAATCTACAATCCCAAATTAAAGATGAAAATTACTAAACATAATTTGTAAATTCTTTTTACTAATATAACAAAAACAAGGTATGAGATATATTTAACTTAATGTGTTTTTGAAAATGTATATGTAAATTGAAGGTTGAAATTAAATTTTATTTTAGACACCATAGGGCTGGATGCTGTCGCTCATGCCTATAATCCCAGCACTTTGGAGGGCTAAGGTGGAAGGATCACTTGAGGTCAGGAGTTCAAGACCAGCCTGGTCAACACAGCAAAACCCTGTCTCTACAAAAAAAATTTTCTTAAATTAGCAGGGCATGGTGGTGCACGCTTGTAGTCCCAGTATTTGAGAGGCTAAAGTGGGAGGATCCCTTGAGGCCAGGAGTTCAAGGTTACAGTGAGCTATGATCACACCACTGCATTCCAACCTGGGCAACAGAACAAAACCCTGTCTTTAAAAAAATATATAAACAGAGAAATTAAAGACAACAGAGAAATTAAAAGCATTTTATAACAAACCCAATCACAGAATTTAAAACATTCATAAAAGGACGGAAACTACTGATCAGTCAGTACTTCCTGAGACATCTTCCCACTGAAGAAGCATGCCACAAAATAATGGATTTTTCAAAAGCTTATTAACTAGAAAGATTAGTAAGGAATTCACATAAATTTAATCACAAAATGTAAAGATGAAATGATCAGAGTCTGGAATACGGAAGAGTTGTAATTTGTGACCTCTCATTTTATCTTTAAATAACCAAAAACAAGTTATTTCATTTAGAAAGATAAAATTTTATTTTCCTATAGCTACCACCATTCAATTAGTTCTAACCAAAGGGAAACTTGGGGGAGGGAAAGACTAATGAAGGTAAGAAGAATTTAGATAATACACGCAGCTGGTCTTAAAGGATTATTCACCACCAGAATAGAATTTTAGGTAAATAGCTAATACATATTTTTAAAAAGACTGCTGGGTGCAGTGGCTGATACCTATAATCTCAGTGCTCTGGGAAGTCATAGTGGGAAAACTGTTTGAGGTCAGGAGATTGAGAGCAGCCTGGGTAACACAGTGAGATTCCATCTCTGCAAAAAAATTAGCCAAGTGTGGTTGGCTTGCCTGTAGACCAGCTACTTGGAGGGTGAGGCAAGAGCACTTGAGTCCAGGAGTTCAAGGTTACAGTGGGCTATAATCAGGCCATTGCACTCCAGTCTAGAGTACAGAGTGAGGCCTTGTCTCTAAAATATAATTAATTCATTTAAAAAATAATAAATGGAAAAAACCCACCCATTTTAAATGGTCATAATTATGGTTGAGAACTAGATCTCAGAGTTTTTATCTTTGACATTAACAACCATTTCATCCATATATCTGTGTTTAATGTGACATCTTTAAGAATATATTATTTTGATTTCTATTTTTCAAATAATATATATTTAAAGTCAGCACTCTATCCTCAGGCTAGAAAACACAGTATATAATTCCTGTATAATCAAACTACCACTGATACTTCAAAAGAAGAAAAGAAGATAACAAAGTCTTATGGAAAAGCATAATCAAAACAAATCTTGACTATTTACTACGTTTACATTATTATTATTATTATAGAGCAACATAAAAGATAGTGTTTTTCGTAACAATCCCAGAGATTTGGAAGCTCATAGGGCAATAAGGTCATTAACCCTGATGCTTTTTTGCAATCATACATTAAGTATACCATTCCAGAAACAAAATAAATACCACCATCCTGTTTACACTTTTTCATAGATCTGGTATTTCCTCTACTCCACTAGTTAGTATGAGGGGGGACCCCTCCAAAAAACCGGAATTATCTTTTGGTGGGTGAGTCCCTGGTAGTATATTCGGAACTTGTTCCTCCGGATCAATCAACCAGTTTTTATATGGAAGTTTTGAGAAGGTTGTATCATGATTTATGGAAAAATGTCCCAAATTGTGGCAAACAGGTGATTAGTTCTTCCATCATAACTCACCTGCCCACACCAGCGCTGAGTGTACAGCAGTTTTTGACCAAAAACAGCACGACTCCAGTACCCCCATTCACTCGATCTCAGTCCAAGCAACATTTTTTTTTGTTTCCCCAGATGAAAAAAGTCCTCAAAGGGAAACATTTGGCCAATGTGGAGGAGGTGAAACAAAAAATGGCAGAAGCACTAAAAGGCATCAAAATTGACCAGTTCAAAAACTGTTTGAGCAAAAGAAAAAGCAGCTTGATAGGTGTAGTGCATCAAACGAAGAGTACTTTGAAGGTGACTGAAGTTTAAACATATAAGAATACACAATTTTTATAAATAAATTCCGGGTTTTTTGGGGGCCCACTTGTATGAATGGCAAATAGCCTATTTAGATGAGCAACTTTTGATTTAGCTCTATAAAAGATCCCTTAATATGAAATACTCTCTGATTTAAAGATTTTTCCCAGGTACTATGTTCATGAGTCAATGAATCTTTTAAAAAATGAATATCAATCCATCTATTCATCTATTTATTTATTTTTATTGCCTGGAAAAGTGGTCCTGCAAGTCGACCTGCCAAGGTCATATTTTTTTTCCCCTGGAACTGCAGAAAAGCTTGTGATGGCATCTTCAGTACAGACTCCGTGACTCTGAGCAACACAAGCAGCATCTGTTCCCTTAAAGTAAAAAAATTAATTAATGTTTTCTTTTTGCATATAACTGATAATAATGTTATCTTTGGAATAATTTAAACATCAAACACTTTGAAAGACAACTTCAAACTTTTAGAGTTCTTTAAATATTAAAATTTAAAATTCCATTTTATATCTGTATCAATCATTTAAAATCAATCATTTTAAATACCCTCTCATCAAATAAAAATGTATTCAAAAACTGATACTTTGAAGGTGACAATATGGAGACTGTTCCTATCTCCTCAATCACGAATCAAGTACCAATGTTAGAGAGCTGTAAGAAGAACACTCATCTATACAATATAGTTCCACCCAGATGCCATTCATCTAATCCATCTTTACAATATGGAGAACAAACATATCTAGAATCATTCCAGGCACAATTTCAAAAACTACATATCTTAAGATTAACAGATCACAAAGAGACTGGTAACTAATCAAGGGTCATTACTCTATCGTCTCGCTCCATCTTTTCCATTTTGGCCATTTTAAAATCTCTTGTTTTGTGTACCACAAGTCAAGTCAATTCTAATTTTCACGTTGTCACTTTCTCCTAGATACTTATTATTAAAACCGTAAAACTACCTTATTAGCACTGATATTTCAAAAATTAATTCAATCACACATGAAAAAGAGGCTGACAAGGGAATTTCAGTTGAATGTATAGCTAGGATAGCAACCCAAGTCCCTTTCACAGCTCCTCCTCTGTGGTTATTTTGCAGGCCCATTCCAGGCACAGCATACGTGAAACAGTCACTGGAAGAAAAGTGGCAGAGGCAGCAATAGGGCCCAGATCTACATTACATGCTTTTTCTGGGAAGTAAGAGCAGAATCAAACAGAAAACTACAACTCAATTAAAAATATCTGAATTTATTAGCAAACAAATGCATGTATTCATTCACAGAATTATGTTTGTATCATGTTTGTAGCCTTATGCTTTTGGTTTAGCTATATGAAATAAAAAGTCATTTGAAATCAACTACATATGCAATAAAATATAGGTTTTCCAAATAAATCTTTTCTGATTTGAGGTCAAACCATAATTCATTCATATATCACTTTGTAATACAATGATTTTAATTAATAAAATCTTAGAAATTCAATGTAAATATGTGGGCAGTCTCCCAAAATGCTATTACTTCGAGGGAACTTAAAAAATTAAGAAAAAACTCTAAAATGGTTTTCTGCATAGCAAGTCTCTCACTATAACCTAGCTCATAAATAATTCAAAGCATACAGAAAGAAAAAAAAACACTAACAAAAGAATAGTCCAATGTAGCATAGTTACTAGCTAATAATAATTTGGGTTCTGAAGTAACAAAAAACCATAGTATATCACTCACTACCTGTGTGTATAAGGACAAGTTATTTCAGTTATTTGTCCCTAGTAGTTATCCCAAATAAAACAGGGATGTTATCTACATTACAGGAAGCTGTAAGAATTAAGTAAGAAAATGCACGTAAAGTGCTTAGAAAGATACCTAACACAAAGAAATGTTCCAAATGTTAATAATAACTACTACTACATGTAATTCTAATAATACTGCTAATAAAGAATTTTTTCACATAAAGTCATCTTTCCATAGGTAGCAAAACATTAATTAGGCATATCCTTTGACCAAGTACTTTTATTTTTTAAGAATGAGTCAATGTTCATCCTCTCCTCCACCCCCAGAACAAAAAGAAATAACTACATGTCCATCATTATTATTTACTGGTAAAGAAAATTATGGTACATACATATGGTATAATACTATATAACTGGGTGTGTGGTTTGATGAGCCAGATGTTTACCAAAGGGAAAATAATCATTACCTCTAGAGAGAAGTTGTAAGCAACTTTTTTTTAAAAAACTTTTCTTTAAATCTTACAATATGTACATGTATCATTTTTACAAAAATTGCAAAACTGTTTTCCAATCTCTCCAAAAGGTTTATTTTTCTATTCAATTAAACAAATACTTATAAAGCACCAAAATATATAATGTACTCTGCTAAGAAATGTAGGAAATACAAAAATAAGACAACCAATATATAACATTACAGGGCCTTTTATCAGAGAGGTAAATAGACATTTATACAAATATTGTAGGTATCAAGACAATTTTGACAAGCACAAAGTACAAATGTAGAATGAAAGAAAGTGAAGACAAAAACTTAAGTAAGGATATGGAAAAAGAGGAAGGTGGAATCTAAAAGTTATGGTGACAACAGGAAAGACAGCAGGACGAGGCATTCTAAGAAAAGTTCAGAATGTGCTCAGGAAAGAGCAATTTTATAAAGACGGGAAGCAGGATCCTATCTTGCAAGACAGAGGTTAGACTTCAGACAGGAGAAGTAAGCAGCAGCCTGACTGTTTATGACTTTGAATGCCAGACTGAGGAATCAGGCATTCACACATTCAGTCAATCATCTACTTATTATCATTCACACATGCATTAACTCATTTATTCATACAAGAATGCATGCATGCATACATTCCCTGGGGGCTGGGAAGTCAGGCTATTATGTGCTTACTTCAGAAAGACAGACCAAGGAATCTTGAGAAAGTTGAGAACAAAGATGTTTGAATAAAGTAAAGGGATTATTGTCACCATGATCGTTAGATAAAATATTATATGTATTCATTTATTCAATAATTAGGAACTCCTATAATATTGTAATAAAACCCGCTGACAGATACTATTCCTCTAAAACTTACTCTAGTTGTATATACACAATAAAAAAACACACAGAAAGGATAAAAATTTTTTACCAAGTCTTTTTGTCCATTGATACTTGCACAACCATGTACCGATAAATATTAAGAATGCGTTTACACATATCTGTGTGCTCATCCAGAAGACTTTTTATTTCATTTGCAGGTTCAAGAAGAAATATATTTGATGAATTTATAATAAACACCTAAGACAAAAGAAATCATTAGCTACTCACAAAGGAATTTTCATGGCAAATTTCTTACTCAAAGAGAAACAAACTTAGACACAGCTAATCACTGTGGGTTGACTGCAACCCTACTTCTACCACAAGCTTAATATTTAAAACTTAAAATCATAAAACCTATGTCTTCATGTTTATCTAGACAAATATAAAACTACTATTAGTCACCCTAAGAAAATAAACCAAGTGTAAAAACAACATTTCTAAACTAAGAAGCTTTAACATAATAACTCTGTTGCTATAACAAAATGAAAAGAACAATGGAAAAAATACAAAGAGTTTAGGATAAAGGATAATACCTAAATCAGAAAGAATTTTCTAAACAGTTTTCATATTATAAATACTACTAATGTGGAGTCATCAACATATATCTTTAATTAAATTCATTATAATCAACTCATTAATTGCATGTTTTTAGGATAAAGTTAATATAATGGTGACAGGTGTGTCTACAGGCTGTCACAGGACACCCTGGAAGAAAATTATATCTACTGTGAACTCTTTTATACTTTTTTTTTTTAACTATCAACTCTGAAACTGTGCTGTCAACTCTGAAACTGTGAACTAAAAAGACATTTATATCTTCTGTATCCTCAATCCTGATTTAAATCCCCTGGAAAAACTACATAACAAAGTACAGTTATAAAATCATATGAGAAAAAATTATTAAACAAACTTTTAAAATAGTGAAAACAGCTGATTCTGTAAATCTAGCAACACTAGCCAAGAAAAGCAATAAAGAGACAAAAATAAACATTAAAAATAAAATAAGGACATAACTAAGCATTAGGCAGAGGATTTTAAAATAACTCAGTGAATAACTTTATGCCAATAAAATTAAAAATTTAGGCTGCGCACAGTAGTTCCCGTCTGTAATCCCAGCACTTTGGGAGGCCGAAGCAGGAGAAGCATCTAAGGCCAGGAATTCAAGACCACCCTGGACAACATATTGAGATCGTCCCCCCATCTCTACAAAAATAAAAATAAAAGTTAGTGGAGTGTGGTGGCATGTTCCTGTAGTCCCAGTGACTGAGAGGCTGAGACAGAGGACTGCTTCAGTGTAGGAGTTCAAGGTTACAGTAAACTGTGACCAAGCCACTGTACAGAGCAATAGAGCAAAACTGTTTCTTTAAAAAGAAATAAACAACTGAAGTTTTAATAAAATGGCTTATTTTATAGAAAAAAACATAAATTTCTAAAACGGACTCAAGAAGAAATGTAAAAATACCAGGAAAGAAACTGAACTGGCAAGCTAAGTCTCCCGGCCCATGCCTAAACAACAGGCCAAGATAGCTCTACAGGTAAAGCTTTGCCCAACCTTTATGGAAGATGCTTGCTATCTTTCAAAAGCTCTTTCAGACACAAAGAAGGAAAATGACCCAATTTATTTTTTAAAAATTTAATCTTGTTATAAAAAAACAAGGACTACACAAGAAAAGTAAATAAGAGACCAATATCACATGTGATACTGATTTTCACAGAGATAAAATCTTGAAAAAAATACTAAAAATTCAAATTAAGCAAACTATATTTTATGACCAAATAGTACTTACTCCAGAAGTTTAAGAATGAATTAATATCAGAAAAATCTATTAATGAACCCTATCAAAAAATTAAAATGGAAAAAAGTATGATTATCACTATGCATATAGAAAAAGCATTCAGCATTTACTTACTTAAAAATGAAAACTTTTAGCAAATTAAGAAAAAAGCAAAAATTCATTAATCTGAAAAAAAGCATTTATCAAAAAGTATATGAAATGTATACATAGCAAATGAACTTGAGAAGTACTGCAAAAAGCCAAGAATAAAATAAGGGTGCTCACTATCACCTCAATGTCTGATAGGCCCAGTCAGCACTAAAGGAAGAAGGGTATAGAATGAAGATAAATATAAATGAATTAAAAAGAAAAAGACAAAACTGAGTTATGCAGTAATTTGGAAGAACATTCCAGACAAAAGGAAAATCAAGTTCAAATGAGGTGAGAACCTGCCTCATATGCCAGTGGAACAGCAAGAAGTATAGAATGAAGCAAGCCAGAGGGAAAGCAGGTGATGCTGAAAACAGAGCCAGCGCACGTGGAGCAGAGCTTCTCACATTACCAGCAGTGAGGAACAGTCACCCCCTCCCAGTCTTTAGCAGACCAATCCTATTATAAAACACAATAAAGTATGAATAGAAAAAAACGTAGTGAAAAAGACACAAAATACAAACCCCAATTTTTCATCAGAATCAAGAGATATCAAATTATTTCACTTCTAAACTTTAACCCTCAATTTTGCAATTATCCTGTGGGTCGGCACTATGTATGGACCACGCTGAGAAGCAACAATATAAAAGCCCTGTAGACCATAATAAAGACTTTGATGCTCAGTAGTAATAGAAAGCCACTGGAGGGTTCCGAGCAGAAAAAATAACACAATACGCCCTGAGACCAGGGTCATGAGTGGGCTAGAGCAGAAGCAGGGAGACTAATCTGAAGTTCACTGAAATAATACAGATGAAAGATTACGGAGATTTAGACACGAGAGGTAGTGTGAGTTCTGAGTAGTAGTTAAATATGGTATACATTTTGAAGGTAGAGCTGACAGGATTTCTTGTCAAATTAGACAGATGTAAAAAAAAACGACAAGAAAAAAGATGGCCTGGGAAACTTGAAAACAGAGTAGCCAATAAATGAAATAAGACTGCAGAAAAACATTTTAATTTGCAATATCTCTTAGATACCCAAGTTAAGATGCCAACTAAGCATTTGAATATGACAGTTCAATATTCACAAAGTTCAGATGAGAAGTCCCAGATTAGAGATAAAAGTCAGCAGTTGTATCGTACAATTGATATGTAAAGCCATAGGAAAGGACGAGACCAAGAAGAGAATGAAGTAGAAAAGAGATTCAAGACCTAATTTCTGGGTACTTCCACCACTTGAAAAGGTCAGAAAACACAAAAATTCACAGAAAAATCAGTTAAATTATCAGACTTGAGAAGTGGATAGTGAGGCAAGAGAGAAACAGAAAAATTCTGGAAGCCGAGTGAAGAAGAATTTCAAGGGGAAGGAAATGATCTACTCTGTAAATACTCCTGACAAATCAAGTAGGATCAGGAATGAAAAATTGGTACATTTGATTTTAAAATGTAGAGGTCACATGTTGCCTTTACAAGTACACTTTGATTACACAATGAATGAATATAATGAACTCCTATAAACCCCCTAGAAAAAGACAAATACCCAAGAGAATGAAAAATTATATAAATCCTTATATGACAAAAGATGCTCAAATTTAGTACTGATGATGAAAGAAAAGCAAAATAAAACAGGAAAACAAACTTTAAAAAAATGAGATAACATTTCACGTACAAAATCGGACAATTAAGTCTGTGAACTCATCCCAGACTAAGGCTACATACCTCTTTGTTGAATATCACTATGGTCACCTTCAAAGTACTCCCCTTGGGATGGTATGCAATGATGCCAGCACCTAGTCCACATGTCAAAGCAACTTTGGAACTCTTTCTGGAATGACCATCAGAGCTTTCATCATATTACCCTTGATGCCCTGAATGTCATAAAAATGTCTTCCTTTCCATATTTCTTTTATCTTCGGGTAAAGAAAAAAGTCATTGGGGGCCAGATTAGGTGAGTATGGAGGGTGTTCCAACAAATTTATTTGTTTAATGGCTAAAAAGTCCCTCACAGGGCAACCCCCTCGGGTCTCCCTCCCACTGTGGGAGCTTTTCTGTCCTCTCAATAAATCTTGCTTCAAAAAAAACAAAAACAAAAAACTCCCTCACAGAGCTAAGTGAGTTGGTACAATGTGATACAAGAGGTCCTTTGGGACCATTTTGGACACACCTTTCTCATGACAAGATTTTCAGTTAAGATTTTCCTATTTCTCTATCAATGCTTATTTGGTCTACTATGCTTCTCACAGTCAACAATTTTGATGCACAATTCAATGACAAACTTTTGCAATGTTTTCATCAGCTCTGCTCATTACTGGCCATTCTGACCTCTCTTCATCAATGACGCTTTCTCTCCCCTCAGAAAAATGTTGAATCCATTTGTACACTGCCGTTTTTTTTCATGGCATTATCCCCATAAACCTGGACTAATATGTCCTTGATTTCACTTCCATTCTTGCCAAGTTTAACAAAAAATTTAAAGTTTGTTCACTGCTCTAATTCAAACTCTGACATTCTCATAACAACAGTTCTAATGGCCACTCCATAAAAAGTCCAAAATTGCTTTGATGGATGGACGAGGCACTGATGGTACATGGCTTCCCAGGGGGAGTACTTTGAAGGTGACTGTAGTGATGTTTGGCAATGAGGTATGTAGCACTTTTTCTAGGATGAGTTTGTGAACTTAATTGTCAGACCCTGTATACAGAAGCAGCAAAAAATTAAAATCTGGCAACACAAGTAATGAGGAAGATATGAGGCAATGAGAATTCCCAAATTACAAGAGGGAATATAGATTATGCTAACACAATGGAAAACAATTTGGCAATAATAGTCAAATAAAGCTAATAATGTACAAATCCCACAACTCAGTAATTCCACTTTGGGATATTACATTATATATTATAGGTAAATTCTCCTTGATGTGCACAAAAACACATGTGCAAGAACATTCACTATAGCAATGTCTGGAACAGTGAAACACTGGAAACAACTTAAAAGACCAGAAACAACTTAAAAGACCAGAAAAATGAGTAAATAAAATGTGAAATAAAATATAAAACCAGAAGCTAATAAAAATAAACTATGGTTGTATATTAAAAATAAATCTCAAAAATGCAATTGTTAATGCAAAAAATCAGTTAAGGATGACAGTACACCATGATATAACTTATGTGAATTTTAAAACTGTCTAGAATAATATATGATGTTTTTTAAATATAAACAAGTATAAATATTTGAAATATTACTTAAGATACTAAACTTAAATAACTAAAATTAAAATATGTAATTTCAAATAATCCACCTGCAAAACTGCCTGTGTACCAGCTTGTATGCTTTGTTCTGTGGCTTCTTCAGAAGTATCATGAAGAGACTCTTGGTAGGAGTCATTTTTTGCCCAACTGGAATTCCGAACATGATCAGTAATATTGGTCCCATTTTCCTGAAGAAAAATATCAAGTTAATATTTCATTAATAAGGATGCTGCAACAAAGTAAGTTGAAAAGGTAAATGAAACTATTAGATCCCACTACTAAACAGGTTTATTTCTCTCCAAGCTGATGTCTTATCTGATTATAAAAGCAATGTATATTCACTATTAAAACATACCTCATTGACAAAATATAAAGTAAAAAAAAAAAACAAAACAACCTTAATGAGCAGCCAGAGATTATATCATTTCAGATATATAAGCATTTTTCTATGGATCTAATATATTAAACCTCCCTTCCATACTCTCACTCATTCAAGAAGAATTACACTATGTACAGCTTCATAAAAGGTGAATTCTGTTCTAAATGCCAGAATCTAAAAAAATAAAATAGAAAATAACAATCTATTCAGCTTAAAAGTAGTAAAATTCCCATTACACTCAGAATATTAATACTTCAAACCACTAAAGCTGTAGTTTTCTGATGGAGTTTTAGCTGTTACAAGTATTACAGACATGAGAGTTTCATCAGCTTTTTAAAAGCAGAGAAACAGAAATGTAACTCAGCATAGTTCTCTTTTTAAACTTTCCCTCCAGTTTCTTTCTGCTTTTGGTTACTCCTCAATATCTTAAAATTGTATTTTGCACAGAGTGCATAATTGTAATACGCAAGAGGTTTAGTTTTATACAAACTATCTACCATTACCAGAAGGAGTCCTGGAACTTGGCTCTATCTGAGTAGCCAACACAATACACCATGGCCTAGCTGTTTCTTGACCTCCATACCCTTATAATCAAGTGTCTTCTGAAGACTCAAGTGTCTTCCTGAATGACTCACAAGTATCCCAAACTCAAGATATTGAAAAATAAGTGTATTAACTACATCCTCCCCATTCCTACCAACCCAAGCCCTCTAGCCACCTTAGCCACCATCACCAAATTTGCTCTGTTTAAAGTTCCTATCCGTGTGAATGGCAACTACACTAGCTGCAAAAGAAACTTGGGACATCTCTCCATTCCTCATCTCTCTCAGCCAATTAATCATCAAGGAATACTGGGTTTTCTGACCAAAGATGCTAATATAGCTGCCCTCTCACTTATATTCTCGTTGTAACTGCCACTGTTCTAGATCAGGTACTTAACATCTTACTTCTGAACTTCGCTAATTCTTCCTAGCTGGTCTCCTTGCCTCTGGGCTAACCTCTTCCTTATCCTCCACTTTGGGTCTGATATAAACCTTTTGGAACATGTAACTCTGCTATTCTCCTATTCATAATCTTTCAAAGGCTCTCCAGTGTCTAGAAGGTAACATGGCACATAAGTTATTGAACAGAATCTAGCCCTTGTCCATCTCATATCTCCTGCTATCCCCTCCCAATTTCTCTTAGATACAGCCAAATAAGATTTTCAAGGTTTTTCATATCTTTGTATTCACAAGGTATGTCACCTTTCCCATTTGTCTACCTGCTCTTTTATATTATACTACCTCTTCCATGAAGCATTTCCAAAAGTCCCCAAGCAGACTTGAGTATTCCTCCGCTCATGCTCTAGGACCATAGCAGTAACATTGTTTTATAATATTTATTCTGTAAGTTATGTGAAGGTAGAAATAATGTCTTCTTGTGTATATACCTCCAACACTGGTTCTCAATGTGAGCAACACCATGCTTTAGGGGGCATTCTGAAATTTGTGAGAGTGTTTTCTTGTCACAAGAACTGAAAAATCCATTTTAATAAGAGAGGACAGGGAATGTTAAACATCCTGCAAGGCACATGTCAGTCCTGTAAATGCACACACGCACACACACACACACACACACATACACACAGTCTTGTATTCTGCATGTTTTTCAAATATCTCACAGATACTACGAAAATTAAAAACTCACGTATAATTATCTGAATCTATAACCCAATTTCATTTTATAATTATAACACCAAAAATTTTAAATTATTTCAATATATATTTATCCAGGAATGTACATCAAAAAATGATTTCACTTTTGGTTTTGGTTAACACCATTAGCAAGACTTGCTGGCATTTTGAAAAATCATATCACTAATGGCAATGCTGGTTACAGTATCTGGTTATCTTTTTTAAATAACATTGATTATTATTTATAAGAGCTTGTATATTAAGTAAATATATGTGGTATTTCTTATAGTTGGTCTTAAGTGTTTTACATTTCAGTCATTTGTTCTGTATAGAATTTTCCAGTTTAGATATAAAAAAATGATTTACCAGTCATTTTCTTGCTGGATTTTTTTTTTTTCTTTTTTTTGAGTGTGTGTCTCACTTTATCTGTTGGGCTGGAGTGCAGTGGCACAATCACAGCTCACAGCAGCCTTGTACTCCTGGGCTCAGGCAATCCTCCTACCTCCGTCTCCCAAGTAGCTGAAATTACCACAAGTGCACACCACCATACCCGGCTAATGTCTTGGTATTTTGTAGAGACAAGGTTTCACCATGTTATCCAGACTGGTCTCAAACTCCTGAGCTCAAGCAATGCACCTCAACTTCGCAAAATGCTGGGATTACAGGCTTAAACCACCATGCCCAGACTGGTTGCAGTATTTCAGTAACCAACATAACAAATCATAACAACACACCCACATCACCAACCTACTATTCCTCCCTCTCTTCATTTGTTCCTTCCATTGTTTGTTTTGCAAATATGTATGTAGGCAGTTTATTCCATCATTCTTATTTAAGAATAGTAAGTGATGAAAATTAGACTTATTATACATACAGCATGACCAACATTGGGGAAAACAAAATTTTTTTTGTTTTTTGAGTTGGAGTCTCACTCTGTCGCCCAGACTGGAGTGCAATGGCCACTCCCAGTCACCGCAGCCTCGACGTGCTGGGCTCCGGCGATCCTTCCAAGTAGGTGGAACTACAGGTACGCGCTACCACACCAGGCTAATTTTTTAAAAATTTATTGTAGAGATGAGGTCTCGCCAAGTTGCCCAGCCAGGTCTCGAATCCACGGGCTCAGGCAATCCACTCACCTCAGCCTCCCAAAGCATGGGATTACAGACTGAGCCACCGAGCCCAGCTGGAAAACAAATTATTTAGACCAATACGTTTATTTTCCAGCATGATACAAAAAAATCTGTATGTATTTTTCACTGATGTGTAACAAATATGACTGTTAATATTTTATTCATAACTTAAGTGATTAATTTTATTTACTTCACTTACATTTCTTACTTACATTTTCCCTCATTTTAGAAGGGGGAGAGGATGATATGTGTGTGCATGTGTGTGTGTGTGAGAGAGAGAGAGAGAGAGAGAGAGAGAGAGACACTCACAGAGAGAGAGAGAGAGAAAGAGAGAGAGAGAGAGAGAGAGAGAGAGAGAGAGAGACACTCACACAATCCCTGTAGACCTGGTCTATTAGTTCATATATTAATATCTTGATTAAATTCTACTGATGAGGTTAGATTAACCACTGAAGTGACTAAACATTACCCCATCATTTTCATCTGGACTAAATTGCAAAATATACTGAAAAATCTTTACCTTCCGATTTAGTAAGTATGTTAGTGTTAACACATGATTACATTTTTGTGAAAGTGTAATCTATTAAACTAAACTAAAATACATAAATCTTATAACCTTACCTCTTCTCTTTTTTCTCCTTCTTCCATTGAAATATCATGGTCTGCGACATTTTCTATACAAGGGAGGTCTGAAGAAGTGATCACAACTTCTTCAGGCTCTTGCATGAACAAAGGTTTTTCCTCTTGCTGGATCCATTCTTGGTAAACTTTTACCACTTTTCTCATAGCTGCTGCTTCACAAATTGGTAATAAAAATGCCTAGTGGGGGAGGAAAAAAAAAACAACAGAGATAATAATGCCTTTTCCTTTGCCAAAATCCACTAATATAGTCTTTTTTTTTCAGTTAACATCATCAATTAGGTTACTGGAAACTGAAACTGGAAGTGAAATAACATATGACAAAATCAATTTTACAACAGGCTAATTGATACAAGGAAGAGTTAAGTTTTTATAGCATATCTCTGATAACAAGAACATCACTAAAGTTCTAAATAAAGACCAAAACACTTATAATATTAAATATTGAAATAAAAGTGAGCTATACATACATTTAAGAAAGATTAATAAAAACAAAGAAAATAATTATTTATCCATATATTCTAGTTCAGGATGGTAGGTAGCCAGAGACTATCCTAGTAGCTCAAAGACAAGGAAGAACCAGCCTTGACAGGAAACCATGCCACCACAGGGAGCATTCACATATACAAGGAGGAACCCCAAAACCCCCAGAATTTATGTATAAAAAATTGTGTATTCTATTCTTTTTTTTTATTTTTTTGAGTTGGAGTCTCACTCTGTCGCCCAGACTGGAGTACAGTGGCCAATCCCGGC